TATATATATATATATATATACACACACATATACATGGATCCGAACTGACTCAATGGCACTTCACACCAACAACATGTAAAAGTATGGTACTGCAGGATCATGCACTGGACCACAAGGTCAGTTTGAACTGCAAAGTTGACAATTTAAACTCACCAGCCACTCCTTGGAAACCCTATACAGGGTCTCTATGAATCTGAACCAACTTGATGGCATTAACAACAACAAATGTATAAGTATATGTATGCATGTATTTATGTATATACAAGAAGCTCTGGTAGTGTAGTGGTTACTAGGCGGGTTGCTAACCTCAAGGTCAGCAATTCAAAACTACCAGCTGTTCTTCAGGAGAAAGATAAGGCTTTCTGCTCCTGTAGGATTGACAGCCTGGGAAACCCTGTCCAGGCTGGCTATGAGTCAGAACCAACTCCATGATACATAACCACCACCACCACCATGTAAATACACGAGTATACATGTTTGTATACTTTTTAGAACCCTAAAATATCAGAAGTGGAAAGAACTTAGACATTCTCTAGCTCAGGGTTCTCATTTCTTAATTATAAAGAAGAACAAAGATTGAGAGGTAAAGGGGCTGCTTGCTTTCATGAGTCACCTGCAAGGCCTTCTCCTTCCTTCCCTGTTCTCGACAAAATGAAAAGATAAAAGAAAGAAAGAAAAAAAAAAAAAAAAAAAAAAACCTTTTAGAATGCAGCAAAAGGTTACCGAGAGGCTGCCTCGTCCAAAGAATGCTATTTGAAAGGTCTTGGCTAAATGAGTAAAAGAAAAAACATTTTAACGAAGACTCCAAGGACTTCTGTGAGTTGCTCCAGCCCCCTGCTGGTGAGAGAGGTGAAGGTCAGACTCCAGAGACCTGGCTAGGTGAAATCCCAAAGATAGGTGTGGCATTGTAGGCTCAGCGTCAGACTGCAAACCACAAGATCAGCAGATCAAACTCACCAACTTGTCCTCGGAAACCCAATACAGGTCGCTATGAGTCGGAACCGACTCGACAGCACTTCACAACACCACTACTTAAGGAAGGGCCTGCAGGAGCCAAGTGGATCAAACTTTCCAGATCAGAGAAGAGAGTAACAGAGATTTAAGGAAGGGGGTAAGGATGGAGAGACTACAGGAATGTTGTTGTTGTTAAGTGCCGTAGAGTCAATTCCGACCCATAGCGACCCTGTATAGGGTTTCCAAGGACCTTGCAGTTCAAACGGCTTTGCAGTCTGGCGCATTAATCCACAGCGCCACACCAGGACTCCACAGAAATAATAATAGTAATAACAAATTATTAAAGGAAGTTTTTTAACTGACCTACCTCACAGGCAATTCTAAATTTATTAGACTCTGGTTTATTTTTCTTCTCTTGTTTTTTGAAGAAAGCGGTTTTTTAGGGAATAAAGCTGGTGAAGGGGAGAGAAGTTTTACAAAATGTTGAGTTGTTAATTTTCATCACAATTTTTAAAATATGTCTATTACAACTTTTCAGTTCACTGTGGGCCTATGATAAGTCTGGACAGGATTGTTTTAGTCCAAACAGGGATTTAGTACTGAGGAGCTTTGGCAGCATAGTGGTTACGAGTCAGGCTGCTAACCTCAAGGTCAGCAGTTCGAATCTACCAGCCGTTCCACGGGAGAAAGATGAGGCTTTCTGCTCATGTAAAGATTTACAGCCTTGGAAACCCTGTACAGGGTCGCTATGGGTCGGACTCCACCACACACTACCAACGCCACCACGGTCTCATTCCGAAAGTCAATACAAATTGGAGAAGGTGCCGTGGCTCCTTAGATAACACTGCCCTCTAGTGTTCAAAAAGACAAGTGTACCAGCCAGACTATCAAGCCAGTCAGTCCTCTGAGGTCAAATCACATGAGGAAGCTCAAATTCAGACTAAAAGAATCTTTAAGGCAACGTCATTACCTTTTTATAATAAAATCTCTTGGCTTGACTATTAAATCCTTTTCTTTCTGGACTTGGAATTTCCGAAGTCGGCCATTTAAAAGGAATCGAGGGTTGTGTCGGATACGCAGCAGTGAAACCTATACAACAAAAATTAAATGAAAAAGTAGCACAAAACAATGCACTGGGACATGTAGCAAAAACAGAGTTATATATTAAAGCTTCATTTAAAATTCAATAAAATGAAAAACTTAACCTTTTGACAGGCGGTAAATATGAAACCAGATTTTTTTTGTAAAGTATTCCTTACTTTATTTTTTTTCTCACCTGGCTAATATATTGGGTTCCCCCTCCTTCAGCTTTTAAATGAATGTGAGATTTGTCACATGACTCAAATAGATTGTCCCAGGAGAGAGGAAGGCTGTGACAGGGGAGATGTATCCTGCCAGGTCCAAATGGCACACGGAAAACCATTCTACCAGTCAAGGAAGCAGCCTGGAAGAGGAGAGGGACCGGGGACAGAACAAGCATCCTCACTCCTCAGGTACCAGCCAAGTGCCATAAAGTCACAGCCAGGTTGGAAAAATCCCAGTGAGGCTTGCTCTCACTTTTCAAGACATTTTTAAATGACAAGAATGGGGTTAAAAAGCAGGAGGGGATCATTTATAGACAAGTTAAATGTGTTATATGTCTAGTTGTGATGTATAAATGATGCGTAAATTCGCCTCTCAGAACCAACCCATCTCCCACTCTCTCCACGTGTAGAAGACTCTCCAGGATTGCCTGATCTCCACAGTTGTTGTTGTTAAGTGCTGTCAAGTCAGTTCTGACTCAGTGACCCTGTACGGGGTTTTCAAGGAGCCGATGGTGGGTCTGAATTGCTGACCTTGCAGTTAGCAGTCCAGTGCTTAACCTACAGTACAGAACTTAGTCACAGCAGAACTCCTCTCATAGCAGGCTGGTCATAAATTCTAATGTGGAAGTATAATTGAGGCCAACTCCAGTGTTTTGATGTTTGACTGTGGACAGTTGAAACTTCATTCCTCCCTCTTCGTCTTCTGCCCCACATTTAAGCACTAAGAGCTCCCTCCTGAGGTGCCCCTTGTAATTCAAACCATGCACATCTCTCTCCTCACAGCAATAAAAACCCAAGCCAGCCTCCTTTCCCTGGTCTCTCATGTCAGTTTTGGACTGTTGGGAAGCCTCCTCTGTTCTCCCCAGAAAGTCTCATTATGAGAGTTGTTGTTGTTGTTGTTGTTAAGTTCTATTGAGTCGATTCCGGCCCATAGCGACCCTGTACACAGTTTCCGAGGCTGTAAATCTTTATGGGAGCAGAAAGACTCATCTTCCTCCCATGGAACAGCTGGTAGTTTCAAACTGCTGACCTTGAGATTAGCAACCCGATTCATAACCACTACGCTACCAGAGCAACTTATTATGAGAGTAAAAGACCCTTTTATGCATTCCTAGGGGGTGGGGGAATGGCGTCATCAGCCTCAAACCAAATTTTGGGTGGGAGTCCATCAGACTAGATGACTATAGGAGTAAGCCAAGTAATCTTGGTATGCAAGTCTTAATTTGGTGCTGGTGGTTATGTGCCATGGAGTCCGTTCCAACTCACAGCAACCCTGTATAGGGTTTCTGAGGCTGTAAATCTTTACGGGAGCAGAACGCCTCATCTTTCTCCCACAGAACAGCTGGTGGTTTTGAACTGCTGACTTTGAGGTTCGCAGCCTGATTCGTAACCACTATGCTACCAGAGCTCCTTAATTTGGGGAGAGAAAATGTGAGCATATTGAAAAAATAATAGCCAAGCAAAAGAAAGATGATACATGTTGGGGATAGGGGGTTGTGCAAGCAAAAGTATCTTCAAGGCCCTAAAAAAATTAGTCTGAATTTTTAAAAAAACAAAACTGCTTTTCAAAGGGGGAAGCCTAATGCCAACAGGGCCCTTCAGGCTAAGGGGATACTCTTCTGAACAAGTTTTACAGATGAGGGAACTGAGGCTTAGTGGGATCAAATTCCACATCCAAATTCCATAGCTAGTAAGTGGAACAGCTGAGGTTTGAACCCAGTTTGTCTAGTGAGTCTAAGTTCTTGAACTCTAAACTGTGCCTCTTCTCCATGAGCCTGGCTCATGCTAAGTTCTCAATAAATAAATAAAGGAAATTGTAGGGAGAAGGACAATCTAACCTAGTAATCCTGAATTGAAGATGAAGAGAAAAAAAAGAAATGAAAATATATGCTAGGTTAGAAAATCTTTGGGAATATCAATATATGGAATATTGATCTCTTTCTTTACCTTTCCCCCCTCCAGCTATCCTGCTATTTAGACAGGTGACTGGTGACTTATTTTTTGCTTAGGAGCAGTACATAACAAAGCAGAAAGCCAAAGGTGGTGCCATCAAGTCAGTTCTGAATCATAACGACTTTATACACGAAAGAAGGTCCTGCACTATCCTCACAATCATTGCTAAGCTTGAGCACATTGCAGCTGCCACTGTGACAATCCATCTCATTGGGGGTCTCCCTCTTCTTCACTGACCCTCCACTTTACCAAGCATGATGTCCTTCTCCAGGGACTGGTTGGTTCCTCCTGATAATATGTCTGGCCGTCCTGGCTTCTAAGGAGCATTCTAGTTGTACTTTTTCAAACACAGATTTGTTTGTTCTTCTGGCAGTTCGTGGTACTTTTAACATCCTTCTCTAACACCATAACTCAAATGCATCAATTCTTTTACAGTCTTATTTATTCATTGGCTAACTTTAACATGCATATAACGCTATTGAAAATACCCTAGCTTGGGTCAGGTGCACTTAGTCCTAAAACTGACATCTTTGCTCTAGAACACTTTAAAAATGTCTTGTGTAACAGATTTGCCTTTTGAAATATGTCATTTGATTTTTTTATTGCTGTTTCCATGAGTGCTCATAGTGGATCCAAGCAAAATGAAGTCTTTGACAACTTCAATCTTTTCTCCATTTATCATGATTTATCATTTATTGCCTCTGTGGTAAGGATTTTTGTTTTCTTTACATTGAGTTGCAACCCATACCAAAGGCTATGGTCTTTGATCTTCATCAGTATGTATTTTAAGTTCTCTTGGCTTTCAGCGAACAAGGTTGTATCTGCATATTGCAGGCTGTTAATGAGTCTTCCTCCAATCCTGATGCCACATTCCTCTTTATATAATTCAGCTTCTCTAAATACTTGCTCAGCACATAGATTGGGTAAGTATGGTAAAAGAATACAACCCTGGTTCACACCTTTCCTGATTTTAAACCATTCAGTGTCCCCTTGTTTTGTTCAAATAGCTTCCTCTCGGTCTCTATGTGCAAGTTCCTCATAAGCACAATTCAGTGTTCCAGAACACTCATTCTCCACAATGTTGTCCATAGCTTGTCATGATCCACGCAGTCAGAAGCTTTTGCATAGTCAATAAAGCATATGTACACATCTTTCCAGCATCTTGCTTTCAGCCAAGATTCATCTAGCATCAGCAATGAGATCCTTCATTCCATGTCCTCATCTGAATCCAGCTTGAACCTCTGGCAGTTCCCTGTCAACATACTGTTGCAGCCATTTTTATATTATCTTTAGCAATATTTTACTTGCAAGTGATATTGTCCAATGATTTATATATCCCATTGGATCAACTCTCTTTGGAATGAGCACAAATATGGATCTCTAACAGACAGTTGGCCAGATAGCTGTCTTCCAAATTTCTTGGCATAGATGAATGAGTGCTCCTAGCGCTGCATCAGTTTGTCAAAAGATTTCAATTTGTGTTCCACCAATTCCTGGAGCCTTGTTCTTTGCCAGTGCCTTAAGTACACCTTGGACATCTTCCTTTAGTGCCATTGGCTCTTGATCATATGTTGTCTGCTGAAATGATTGATCATCAACCATCTCTTTCTAGTATAGTGACTCTATGTATTCCTTCCATCTTGTTTTAATGCTTTCTGCATCATTCAATATTTTGCTCATAGAATCTGTCAATATATCAAGTCAAAAAATGTTTTCATTTCTTTCAGCCTAAGAAATGCTGAGCATGTTCTTCCATTTTGGTTTTCTAACTCCAGGTCTTTGCACATTTCATTGTAAAACATAACTTTGTCTTCTCAAGCTGCCTTCTGAAATGTTCTGTTCAGCTCTTTTACTTCCTCATTTCTTCCATCTGCTTTAGCTTCTCTATGCTGGAGAGCAAGTTTCAGAGTCTCTTCTGACATCTATTTTGGTCTCTTCTTTCTTTCTAGTTTTCTTAATGACCTTTTGCTTTCTTCCTCTTGATGTTCTTGGTGTCACCTCACAATTCTTTGGTATTCAGTTACCAGTGTCTAATGCATCAAATCTATTCTTGTGGTAACCTCAAAACTCAAGGTCTAATTTTGGCTCTCATGGACATATGAACAACTGTTGCTGTGTCTGTCCCTGGCCTTGTTTTGGCTGATGATATGAGGTGTTTCCACCATCTCTTCTCACAGATGTAGTCAATTTGATTCCTGAGTATGTCATCTGGTGAGGCTCATGTGTATAGTTGTCTTTTAAGTGGTTATAAAAAACCTATTTGCAATGAATATTCATTGGTCTTGTAAAATTCTATCATGTGATCTCCATCATGATTTCTATTACCAAGGCCATATTTTCCAACTACTGATCCTTCCTCTTTGTTTCCAACCCTTACATTCCAATCACCAGTAATGATCAATACATCTTGAATGCATGTTTGATGTGTTTCAGATAGAAGATGTTAGTAGAATTCTTCAATTTCATCATAACTGGTTTTAGTGGTTGGTGCATAAATTTGAAGAATAGTGGTATTAACTGGTCTTCCTTATAGGCATATGGGCATTATCCGATCACAGACAGCATTATACTTCAAGACAGAGCTTGAAATGTTCTTTTTGATTGTGAATGTGATGTCATTCCTCTTCAATTTGTCATTCTCAGCATAGTAAACCATATGATTGTCAGATTCAAAATGGCCAATACCAGACCATTTCCACTCACTAATGCCTAGGATAACGATCTGTATGTGTTCCATTTCATTTTTGACAACTACCAATTTTCCAATGCATATTTTGTACATTCCATGTTTTGATTATTAATGTATGTTTACAGTTGTTTCTCCTCATTTTGAGTTGTGCCCCATCAGCAGATGAAGTCTTGAAAGTTTTATTCCATTTGAGTCATCATGGTCTACTCTACTTTGAGGAGGCAGCTCTTCCCCAATCGTATTTTGAGTGCCTTCCAACCCAAGGGGCTCATGTTCCAACACTATATCTAACAATATTCTGGTGCTATTCATCATGTTTCAATATTTACTATTATCTGACAGCATCTCACTGGAATTCGTAAGATTTTCAGTGGCTAAACATTCAGAAGGAATCTGCCTCTCCTTCTTCCTATTCTATCTTAGTCTGAAAGCTCATCTGAAACCTGTTCAACATGGGTATACCCTGCTGGTATTTAAAATATCAGGGGCTATTTAAAGCCACCACAGTATAACAAACTGACAGACAAGTGGTAGATTTTGCCCATGGAATCCTTCAATATTGCAA